CGAAGTCTAATTGTAGGCTTTGTTCGGCTGGTTTGTTGCTATTCAAGAGGGCTTGGTGCGGTTTTTTGTTGTTGCTTTTTATCGCTAATTCTCGGGGCCGTGGGGCCCGTGTTCTGGTTCCCGGCGCGGCGGCCCGCAGGGCCCGAGGTGCCTGCTCGGCCTCCTCCTCGGGCTCGTCCTTCCACGGAGCCTTTGGATACCGCTCACAGCGTCTTAGGAACGTGAGGTACCCAGGCTCAACGTTAAAACCGCAGGAGCTAGTCGGTATCGGTGGAAACTCCCACGTTAGTGCAGTGTAAAAGCGCTTATGGGTACGTCATTTGAAAAATAATTGAACTGGGAGGGGAAGAAGAAAAAGCTTCCTAAACTCACTGTGTTTATATACTCGAACAGCTGTGGTTTAAAGCCAAATAAACTTAATATAGAAAGCTAGTTCTCTGTAGTGCTATTTTAGAAGTGTAAGTGCTCACAGTGAACTGAAATGTGAAGCTCTTTTGGCTGAGTGGGCTGTGCTTGTTCTGCTTCTCGTACTGAACAACTTTGCTTGGCACCCTGGGGCATGCCGTCTGCTCCGTGTTGAGACGTCATTTATTATAACGCCTGTATTATCGCTTTCAAACTTTCATTAGTGCTAGCCTGAAAACTTATCTTCTGACACTGTCTCCTTTCTGAGCTAACTGGCTTGGTGTGGACCCGTAATCTGGGTTAAGATTTGAAGACTGCCCTTAGCTGTTGCTGCCTTAAAGCTTTCATTCTAGGCAGATCTAATTTTGATTTACCACAAATTGAAGGCTTAAGAGATCCAGTAGTTCTGCACATTATGGTGATCTCTTGTAGACTACAGTGTTTTTATTGATGTGGTTTTTTCCTTGCAGAAATGCAAACGGCTTTTCCGTCAAAGAAACAGTGTGTCAGCAAAGCAGCGGATCTAGAGTTCAGCAAAGATCCCAATTTTAACTTCAGCTCGAACGTTCCAGCCGATGGTGTCTTCAAAGGGTAAATGAAAGTAAAATACTGATAGGTTTATTACTTGGCAAATGTCCTAAAGTCCGTTTAGCATTCTGCAGATTTTGTTAAACTACCAAACTTGCTAATCTGGTGGTGGTCTTCTGGTAATTGTATTTCACTTGTCTTTTAAGGTTGCCCAAATCTGCCAAGAAAGTGGAACCACTTTCCAAGAAGACAGCTGCAAGGGGGTATGTTTCCTCAGATCTCTGTTAGTGGCCCTTGTGCAGTAATGGGGGGTTTATGCTGAGCTCTTACCCATGTACAGCTTTTTTGCCAAGTTTGATTAAAGCTCTTGGTCAGAAACAAGAGCAAATGTTTCAAAAAAGGGCATGTTTGGTGGAGGTAAGAGAGCTGATTTTTTTTGCCCCTAACACTTGATATTTGACTCTACAGACCTCTCAACAGATACAAACTAGAAGCAGAGCTGAAGACCAAGAATCAGCTGTTAGAAACAGCCAAACAGCAGCTACACTCCAGACTAACAGGAGCACAGGTAAGGAAAGGGGAAGATAAATAAATCATTGAGTAATTCTTATCTCCTGATCCCTACAGGGGAAGTGTCTTGCTCATTTTCCCGTTTCCATCAGAAGTCAGTAGAGTTTGGGTGGGCTGGGTTTTCTCCTCTGACACCCATGGTATCAGCTAGAATCTGGAAATTGGCAGAATTGGATTGTTACAAACAGATTTGACTTTCTTGAATCAAGATTATATTCAGAATTGGCACCTCTTTATTCAACACCTCCTACAGTTCACTCTAGAACACACTTAGTGCAATTTCTGTCATGTGCAAGAGGCCCTGCTGGTTAGCTTCTACTGTAAAACCTCGCTTAATTTCCTAGTTCTCAACCGGTTACTAATCTGTGAGACAATCATTCCTCTCGTCTCACAGCTTGATTTCTTTAAGAGCTCTGAGACCCCCTATGAGATGTTCGAAAAGCTTCTGACACTATCAGCTGGATCACCCTAATCCTCATGCTTATTGATTCTCTCGGAGAATTGCATTCAACGTGTGAGGTTGATCAGCTTATCCGATTGCCTGGTAATACCTGAACTGTAGGGAATAACGCTGTGGCTTAAAGATACTAAAATGCCCTTTTCTTCCCAGTGTTTATAAGTTCTTCAGTGCATCAGTCTCTTGAATTTATATATATGTGAAAGGGAGTGCAAGAAAAGCTGTACTAGGGTTGCCTAAAACAAATTATCTCCAGGATAGAATTTTTCTAGTAATTGCTATGACATGTGGATGTGATAAATGTGTTAATCCTGTCAAGGAGCAGGAGTAAGGGTCTGCAAGAGACTAATTTGCTGTGGTGGCAGAGACAGAAGGGCAAGATCTGATGCTTAAGCCATTAGCATCAGGCTCAGTATTACTGACTAATGAGAAAATCTCCCTGGAAACTCGATTCACTTGGAACCTGTGTTACTGACAGGGCACTATAAAGGAGTTAAAGGAGGAGAATGAAGGCCTGGTGCAAGAAGTTGAGAAGCTCAAGAAACTGCAGGAGACTTGCCTGCTGATTTTAGAAAGCAGGAACATCGATCCTGGTAAGGGCTATGTACTTCAGATACCATTCCAGTACTCGTTCTTCGGAACTTTATTTTCCCCAGGTTGTCACTGTTCATAAGACACTGAACTCTGTTGTTGCTAAGGAAATACTGCTGTAACTCCAGGGGATTTTCTTTTTTCCTAGTTAAAGAAAAAAAGCTGCTTCCTGTAGTTTTTGCTGTAGAAAGTTACTTTGAAAAGGTGTTAATTCTTTGTTGTGGTTTAACCTCAGCCAGCAACTAAACACCACACAGCTGCTTGCTCGGTTGTCCCCCGTCCCAGTGGGATGGGGAGGAGAATTGAAAAAATAGAATAAAACTTGTGGGTCGAGATAAGAGCAGTTTAATAGATAAATTAGATAATAGTAATGAAAAAGAATGTAACAAAGAGAGAGAGAAACCCCAAGACAAGTGATGCTCAATGCAATTGCCACTCTGATGCTGGAGCAGCAATCTACCCCCTCCAGGCAACTCCCAGTTTACACACTGGGCACAACGTGCTGTGATGGTATGGGATGCCCCTTTGGCTCGTTGGGGCCGCTGCCACGGCCACGTTTCCCCCAGCTTCTTGTGCACCTGCTCGCTGGCAGAGTGGGAAACTGAAAAACCCTTGAAGTAGGAGAAGCACTGCTGAACAACAACTACAGCTTGGCTGTGTTATCAACATCCTCGCACTGAATCCAAAACACAGCACCGCATCAGCTGCTAGGAAGAAGTTTATTCCAGCCAAACCCAGGATGTTATTACAGGCAATGTTATCTATATATTAGAGGTTCACTAATACATCTTGTAAATTAGTAACAGGGAACAGCATCTTGGAAGAAGAGGAAAAGAAAAAGGAATGCCAGAAGCAGACAACGGTAAGAAAATTTTGAAATAGCAGCAGGAGTTGAATGGGCTTTGAGAGGTTTGTGTGCTACTGCCCTTTTCCACTCCTGTAGTGGAAAAAGCTGCTGGGGCTCACGTTTATTGCCGTTATGTTAAACTGTTTTCCTCTTGGCTCTTCAGCTGTTGACTGAGAAGCTTATAGAAGAGTTGAGGCTATTTAATCAAACAGCTGCAAAAGAAAAGGAGGTGCTTCAGGTAAGACTGAGTTTGACTCCACCAGGTAATGAGCACTCGGTGCAGAGTGAGATTCAGAAGGGTATTTTGCTTCTACTAGTGCTGCTTTGTTCTCCAAATGAACTACGCAGTGAAAGCCTGTACTACTACTCTGCTTCTGTAATATTACGCATAGATTGACCATAATCATCATTAAATTGTAGTTTTACAATTCTTTTAAGAAGCTTACAAGATAATGAATGAAATCCTTGTAAGACTTCCTAAATTGTGGTCATGGATAAATCACCATTTTCCTCAAAGAACCAAGGTAAAAGACATCCCAGTCAAGACAGACCAACCTTAGTTTAGCAGGTAAAACCCTGCTGAAGAGTTCAAATGTTTTAGCTGGAGCTGCTTTAGAACTGGGCTTCACTGTTCTACTTTGGTGTTAATAAACTGTTGTGCACCCTGGCTTCTCTACGCAGGCAGCGATGGCAAAGTGGAAATCGGCCGAAGAAAAGAGACAGCAGTCCCTGGAGAAGCATTCCACCTTTCAGGCAGAACTTAAGGAATGTTCAGCAGTACTTGATGAGCTGGAGCAGCTCCTGTCTATGTGAGGCACAAGGATGGACTGTATTTTTTGTATGTGTGTGATGATTTTACTCGTAGCTCAGTGGTGTCTACGCCACAAACCTAGTCCTTGCGTTTGGTGTCGGGCCGGACAGTGCTGTCTGGGGTAGGAGCCGGACAAGTGGCTGTGAGAGAGCAGCAAAGGGCTGAGCACCTATAGCCCTTGTTTTTCCCACATCTGCTGGGGCCTTGCCCAGACTCTTATTTTTTTTTTTTTTTTAACCTTCGGCGGTGGCTCATCTGCTCCCACCTGAAGGCCTGTTGTAACTTTTAATGTTTTTAACCCATTAAACCTACTGCTAGGCCGTGTACGCGCGCTGTTACTTCCCCCCGTGCCTCTTCCCCCTTACTGCCCCCTCCCT